TTGCCTGATGGTTTTACAGACCCTCTTCTAGGACCCCAGAATTCCCCCAGAAGTACCCACCACCCACAAACTCTGCCACACCCTCCCGGGTTTCCTTGGGAGACCTTACTTAAGCATCCTGGGCCTCAGTTTCCTCATCTATAAAATGAAGGGATTGGACTAGATGACCAATAAAGTTCCATTCAGTTCTAAAGCCATGACCCAAGAATCCCAGGAATTCAAAACCAGATGATCTGAGTTTTAATTATATCTCTTCTTAGTTGTGTGACTTGCAGTGACTCAAACCCTCTCAGGGCCCATTTTTTCATCTCTAATAAGTGAGAGGGATGAAATAGGTGGCCTGGAAAGTGCCCTCCACCCTCAAATCTGTGATATTCTGCTCCTAAGTAAATGCAAAGGAATTTCAGTAAGGATAAAATCCTTACAACTGGAGGCAGCCTCTGAGCTGAGCCTTGAATGAAGTTGGGGGTTCTAACAGGCAGGAGGGAGGAGAAGGTGCCAACTAATCTGAGGCATCAGCCTGTGCTGTGCAAAGGAATGGAGGTGGGAACAACAATGTCCTAATAAGCTATGTGGCCTCATTCCTCCTTCTTGGAGGCAGCTTGTTCATTACTGTGCTCTCTATTCCTCACAGGGTCTTACACACAGTTATCAACTCAGTAAATAAAAAAAATTAAACAGGCCAGAAAACCTAAGTTTAAATCTCAGCAGCACTTAACGCAGTGCCTGGCACATAGTAGGAGCTTTATAAATGTGTATTACCATGAAGGAAATTCTTTTGAAGTGATGTAGCTCTGTGAAAATAGGAATTGTTAAAATGATTTCTTAATCATGATTTCCATTTAGGCTCCAGGGCCTAAAGTGACTTCTGTGAAAGGTGCAGTCTGGATTACAACCAGGGCCCCAGAAAAGGGTGTTGGTGGAGCTACCCTGGTCAGGCCCCAGGAGTGCAATGTGGGGGATGGGGGATGCAAATAACTCCTTTAGAATTCTATGCTCAGTGTCTGCCTGAGTCTCTTTAGCCACTGTGACTGAGAAACCATTGCCGTCTGGACAAATATGATTTGTTTTGACCAGAAGAAGTGGGGGAAGGTCCAGGTTAGACCCATCATGCTCATATGACTATAGAGTCCAGAACAGTTGGAAGAACATTTAATAATCATCTAGTCAAACCATCTCATTTTTCAAATGGGGAAACTGAGTCCCAGGGAGGTGTCACACATAGGGATGTCACACATAGGGAACCTAAGTGCACAAAAGTAATTTAAACACAGCATTAAAAGTAGGTTTTAAGCCCAGTCCCTCTGCCTCCAAATCCAGTGTTTCGGTTTTTTTTTTTCATCCAATTGTAGGAATCAATTATTTTAAGATTCTAGTCCAAAGTTCCATCACCTTTTTTATCATGGAGCTCTTTGGCAGTCAGTATGGTGAAACTTATGCTCCCTTTCTCAGAATAATGCTTTTTAAAGTATAAAAAAATACATAGACTTAACAAAAAAAAACCCTCAATTATATGGAAATAAATTACATATATATATATATATGTGTGTGTATGTGTATTTAAAGACCAAATTTATGCACCTTACATCAAGAACCTTTGTTCTATAATATATGCTTTTTTTGTTTCACCTTCTTTTTAAAAAAATCTATTTATTTATTTTTAGTTTTCAACATTCTATTTCATAAGATTTTCAGTTCTAAATTTTTCCTCTCCCTTTTCTCCCCCCTCCTCAACATGGCATGCAAGCTGATATAAGCTATACATGTACCATCACATTAAACATATTTACACATTAATAATTTTGTGAAAGAAGAATCAGAACAAAAGAGACAAACCACGGGAAAGAAAAAAAAAGAAAATAGTATGCTTCGATCTGTATTTAGACTCCATAGTTCTTTCTCTGCATGTGGGTAGCATTTTCCATCATGAGTTTTTGGAAGTGTCTTAGATCATTGCATTGCTGAGAAGAACTAAGTCTATCATTGATAATTTTACAACGTTACTATTACAGTGTACAATTGTTTCACTTTCTTCTACTCCACACCCCAGGGTATATGGAAGCCATGGAGCCCCTTCAGGTTCATGGGAGAAAAAGCCATTTACCTTTGGCACGTGGTATCCTGCCACTGTGGTATCAACTGTAGCCACCCGGGGCACATTGAAAGGAAGAATATCACCCATTCTCTGAACTTCATGAATGGCTGCATTAGTGTAGGGCATATTCTCCTTATCAGCCATGGTGGGCTGCCTCAACTGGCCAACCACCCGGTCAATCTCAGCTTGTATTTTGCCTGGAAAGAAAAGTTAGAGTTTTTTGAGACCCCAAATAAGAGCTCACATATAGAGAGTGTTTTAAAGTTTGTAAAACATTTTACAAATATTATCCCATTTGATCCTCACAATAATGCCAGGAGAACAGTGCTATTATTATCCCAATTTTATAGATTAAAATGAAGCAGACAGAATTTAAGTGACTTGCTCAGAGTCACAAATCTAGGTGGATTTGAACTCAGGGCTTCCCCCCCTTCAGTTTTCTCTGATCATGGAGGAGAATCTTAGCGACATGTATAGTTGGATTAAAGTTTGGCTTGACACTTCAACAAAAGTGCCAATCCCCACAGCCTAGAAATGTGGAGACTTAACTGATTAATTGTTAATAAGGATATTTGTATTGTTAGGAAGACATCCAGGAATTGGCACCATGGAAAGCATGCTGGAGCTAAAGACAGAAGACCTGGATTCAAATTTCAGCTTTGCCCCTCACTATTTGAGTGTCCATGGGCAAGTTACTGAACCCCTTGAGGCTTTCGTTTCCCTGTCTCTAAAATAATCAGGATTGACTACACTGTCTCTAAGGTCTTTAAATTTATTTATGTATATTATATTTATTCATGTAGCTTTATATTTAGTGTCCAATGATCCCTGATTCCAAGTCAACCAGATGTAGAATGCAGTTCTGAAGAACAAGATGGTAATTTTAGAAGAAAGATAATTTTGTTCCCTACGTGAGCTTATCCCTGACAAAGCATTTATGATGAACCATGTAGACAGAAACAAACTATTTCAAGTAAAGTCAACAAGCATTTGTTAAGTACCTACTAAATACTGAGAAGACAGAGAGATGCAAAAGACAGTCCCTGCCCTCCAGGAGCTTACAATCCAACAATGGAGACAACATGCAAACAAGATACATGCAGGATAAGTTGGAGACAATAACAGAGGGAAGGCACTAAGATTAATGGGGATTGGGAAAGTCTGTTCACCTAAGGTAGGTTTTCTTCTGGGAATTTAAGAATGCCAGGAAAACCAGGAAGCAAAGATAAGGAGGGAAAGCATTCCAGAAATAAGGGGACAGCTACAGAAAATGTCCAGAGCCAAGAGATGGAGGGTCTTCTTGGTGGGACAGCTAAGAGGCCAGTGGCACTGAATCAAAGGATAGGTTTCATGGATTAAGGTATAAAGAGACTGGGAAATTAGGAGGGGGCAGCCCATAAAGGACTTTGAATGCCTAACAGAGCATATTTTATTTGATCCTGGAGGTGACAGTGTGATATTGGAGTTTACTGAGTGGGAGAAATCACTCGATGATCATAAAATGGAGGTTGGATTGGAGTGAAGAAAGACTTGAGGCAGGCAGATCCTATCACAGGCTGTTGCAATAGTCCAGGTGTGGGGATATGGAGGTCTGGACCAAGGTGCAAATAGTGTCAGAGGAGAGGAGATATTCAAGGGATGTTTCAAAGGGGAAAGAAGTAGGCCTTTCCAAACAATTAAATGGGGGAATGTGAGAGATTATGAGGAGTTAAGGATGACTGCTAAGTTTTGAGACTGAGGGACTAGAGAATGGTGTTGCCCTCTATAGTAATAAGAAAGGTAGAAGGGGAGATGGGCTTAGGGGAAAGAGAATGAATCCTGCTTTGTACATATCAAATTTAAATTTGACATCTAGTTCATGCATTTTAGTGCAAGAGGTAGCTGGAGATGAGAGACTGGAAGTCAGCAGAGAGCTTCGGGCTGGATAAATAGACTTGATAATTATTAGCATAGAGATGATAATTGAATCCATAGGAGTAGATGAAATCACCAAGTGAAATGGTATAGAGGGAGAAGAGAAGGCCCAGGACACAGCCCTTTGGAACAACTATATGTGTGACCTGGATGCAGATGTGACCTGGGCTAAGGTCTAACAAAGGAGACTGAAGAGTGGTCAGATAGATAGAAGGAGGACTCAGAAAGAATGTCATGAAAATCTAGAGAGAAGAGAATATTAAGAGAAAAAAAATGATTGGCAATGTGAAAAGGAGGTCAAAGTGGATGAAAACTGAGAAAATATCATTCTATATAGGAATTAAGTTACTTTGAAAAGATTGGTTTCAGTTAAATGATAAAATTGGAAGACACACTAGAGAATTAAAAATGAGATGAAAGGAAGTCAATGCATCTCTTGCAGATAGCCTTCTCAAGGAGTTTAGTCACAAAAGAGAGAACCAATATAGGACAGTAGTTAGTGGGAATGGATCAAGTAAGTTGTTTTTTTTTTTTTATTTTTTTTGTTTTTGGTTTTTTAGAATAGGGGAGACATGAGTATGTTGTTAGGCAGTAAGGAAGCCACCCGTTCACAGGATATGGTTGGAAATAAAAGATGGAGTGGGAAAGATAGAGACAACAGCCTTCTAAAGAATATGGAATGGAATGGGATTATTTGTGTATCTAGCAGAGTTGACATTAGCAAGGGCATGAGTTACCTCTTCACGGGAGATAGGATTGAGGGAGACAGTAGTGGCAAAAGACATCTGGGTTATGTAAGAGGAGAAGGAGGGGAGTTGAAGGAGTTCGAGGTGAATGGCCCCAGATTTGCAGTAAAATCAATTGATGCAAAGTGAAGTCTGCAGAACCAGGAGAATCTTGTCCACGGTAGAAGCAATATGATATGCTGAAGAACTGTGAATGACTTAGCTATTGTCAGCACTACAATGATCCACATTATCCCAACTGGCTAATGATGAAGCATATTATCTGCTTCCAGAGAAAGAAATCATATTGTCTAAATGCAGAATGAAACATGCTATTTTTCACTTTCTTCATTTCTTTCATTTTTATGCAAGTCTTTTTGCACAAAATGACTAATAAGGAAATGTTTTACATGAGTGTACATGTCTAACCTGTGTCTGATTGCTTACCATCTCAGGAAGGAGGAAGGAGAGGGAGGGAAGGAATTTGAAACGCAAAACTTTAAAATATGTTAAAAATTGTTTTATATGTAATTTAAGGAAAAAATATCATAATCTGTATATATCAATTTACAATAAAATATGAGGCAAGTTTCACAGCTGAAATGGTTGGGGGAGAGGGAGTCATGCTCCCATGAGAAGGGATGAGAAGGTTTAGAAGAGCTGCTGCAGTAGATAGGAAAATTAATTAATTAGGGAAATGTAAAAAGATTACCTTGCAGCAATAATTATTAGACAATGTAAAATAGATTAGTAGTGGACACAGTCAATCTGGTTTTGTGGTTTTCCTTACATTCATTTAATGCATATGAATGAGACTGAAGTCCAATGATAGTTGAAGTGAACTAAGCCTGATGTTTGACAGGATGAGAGATGATACCATAGTGGGGGAAGTATAGATTGAATTGATTCGTGAAGGGGTCAAGATGGAAAAATGAGGAGTGTGAGGCTAGTACAAGGGTGATGGCCCGGGAGGGAACTGAGGAGTCAAGAAATTGGCAGTCAAGGAAGGAAAAAGAAGAGTTGGGATATCAATAGATTGAGATCAGATAAGTCAATTTCAGAATTCATGAATTCGGTAAGTTGTATATTTGTGGGCAATGGCCAGATCGCCCTTTTAGAGTTGCTTATAATTAAGCTTATAATTATAGTATGTTTATATATAATGTATGAACTATATAATATACTAAATATAATATGCAATATAAATATATATTAGAGTAGCTTATCATTAAGTTAATGCTTGTTGACACTGTGATTCTTAGCATGAATATGATTCTTAGCCCATATCCCATCATTCTGCTGTTGTCATTGTAGAAGCAGGAGATGACTGCAGAGGGCTGAGGGTCATTTTGTATCATTCTTTGTGTCAAGAGATGGGTTGGAATTTATGGTCTTTAAGATACCTTCTAACTCTAAATCTAAAGATGTTATGACCTTCTGTAGATTTTATTCATAATGCATCCTTCACTTAAATATTTTTATTTTGAAATCTATGGAGATTTGTCACATTTAATAGAATACAAATACATTTTAAAATGTTACTTTTTGTTATCACATACCTTTGCAATCGAAAAAGTTACAGTGCACTAAAATAATAATTAATAATAATAAAATAATATTTGCTATTTATATAAAACCTTAAGGCTTACAAAGCACTTTATGTTTGTCAACTTGTTTAATCCTCATTACAACCCTTTGAGGTAAGGGCTATTACTATCTCCATTTTATAGATGAGGACACAGAGGCTGAGAGAAGTTGTGATTTGCTCAGGGTTACATGGTTTGTGAATTCCTGAGGCAGGATTTGCATTTACATCTTCCTGACTCCAAATGCTACACTCTATTGCCCAAGTCGACAACTACCATCATATGGGGAGCTAAAAGAAATTTTGATATTAAAAAAGGGTCTGCATGACTGTGAAAAATGGTAATCACTGCTCTATTCCAATGAGAATTGAAAGATTATGTATGTAAAGTGATTGGCAACTTTCAAGTTCTCTAAATGGGACCTCTTCTGGGCAGAATTCTACAAGGGCACATAGCCTGGGGCAATCACTGTACCTTGGATCTCTGGATAAAAGGCCATATACAGCAGTGCCCACCTCAGAGTGGTCGAAGTTGTCTCTGTTCCAGCAAAGAAAAGGTCCAGGGTGCAGAAGACTAAATTTTTTTCATCAAAACTAGAATGGATATTATCCTTAAATTAAAAGGACAGGCATCAGTTGGTGAATAATAATAATAATTATAATTATAATAGTAATCATAATTATAATGACTGGCTCCAAGTATGAGGAGTTCCACCCTCAGTGGGGCCTTGGAAGAGTCCAGGTGGCAGATCCTGGGCTTCCCACTAACACCCAAGAATACAGTAACCATTTCTAAGAATGAGAGTTCCTATTTCTTTTTTGGTTCCAACTACATGTAAAGGCAATTTTAACATATTTTTTGTATAAAATATTGAGTTACCAATTTCTTCCCTCCTTCTCACCCACCTCTAAAAAGATGGTAAGCAATTTGATATAAGTTATATAAGTTCCTATGTCCCAAGTTTATCTTATTTTCTGAAGTGTACATATTTGCCTTTTCTTTCATATTAGCCAATCTGTAGGTGTGATGTGGTACCTTAGAGTTGTTTTAATTTAATCCATTTGTTTCTCTAATCATTAGTGATTTAGAGCATTTTTTCATATGACTATAGATAGTTTTGGTTTCTTCATCTGAAAACTGATTGTTCATATCCTTTGACCATTCATCAATTGGAAAATAATGTGTATTCTTATCAATTTTTCAATAATGATTTAGATAATTTTTTATATCACTATAAGTTGTTTTGATTTATTCATTGGAAAACTGCTTGTTCAAGTCCTTTGATCATTTATTAGTTGGGTAATGGATCATTATTTTAGTTTTGACAAAGTTCTTTACATATTTTTGAGATGAGACTTTTGTCTGATAAACCATGTATATAATTCCCCGCCCCCAATTTTCTCCTTTACTTCTGATCTTGGTTGCATTTGTTTTATTTGAACAAACCCTTTTTAAATGAATGTAATTGAAATTGTCCATTTTATACCTAACTTTGCTCTTTAATTCTTGTTTATTCATAAATTGTTCTTATATCTATAAGACTGATAAGTTATATATTCAGTGTCTTAATTTTCTTGTAAAATGTCTCTCGATATGTAGGTCATGAATCCATTTTGACCTTAAACAATGTAAGCTATTGGTCTGTGCCCAGTTTCTGCCATACTGCTTCCAGTTTCCCCAACAACTTTTTATCAGATAATGAAGTCTTATCCCAAAATCTTAACTCTTTACACTAATCAAGTACAAGATTTTTATGTTTATTTGCTGCTGTAAATCATATTTCTACTCTATTCCATTTATCTACCTTTCTATTGCCCAGCTAGTATCAGATAGTTTTGCTAATTACTCCCTTATAATATAATTTAGGATCTGGTACTGCTAAACTTCTTTTCTCTATACTTTTTTTTTAAATGTTTCCTTCGATATTCTTGATATTTTGTTTTCTCCAAATGAATTTTGTTACTATTTTTGCTAATTCACATTTTAATTTATAATTACTATTTGTGAATTTCCTCCACCTTATTTTTACTTACTAGTTTCCTTCTCAGCCTCTCTTTTCATCCTATCCCTGTTACTTTATCTTCTCTTACCCTCTTATTCCTTATTTTAGCCACCCCTCTAAAAATCCCTTCTTTATCTATTCACCTGACTCTCTTAATCTTAATTTAAATACCTTTCTAATAACCTCTCCCTCACCCTATTCCCCAGTTTATTCACCTCTCTAAAAGTTTGTAAGACTTCTAAACCTCTCCAGATGAATATGGTGTTTCCTCTTCAACCCAGATGAGAGTAAGGATCCAATATTACCAACGCTCTATCCCCAACTGCTTGCTCTGAATGAATTCTTGCCTTCATTTTTATGAAATGCTTTCTCTGTTTATTCTTTTCCTACCCAATTTTGTTTTTAGAATTGCCTCATCATACACAATTCAGCCCCAACCTTTCTTTGACACTATCTCAGTAATGAAAATAGGTTTAAAAATACTATTACTACTACTAATAACTAACAATTACTAATATTAATAGCATTTTCAAGTGTCATAAGTCAACAGTTTGACCTTAATCAGAGCCTGGTAATTAGTCTTTAATGATTTCCTTTTATTTCTTCTGGATCTTTTATATTGAATTTTCCATTTACTTCTGGTCTTTTGGTTACAAATACCTGCAAGTCTTTCAGTTCATCAAATGTCTTTTTTTTTTCATTCAGAGTTATACTCAACTTTGCTGGATAAGTTATTCTTGGATGCAAACCCAGCTCCTTTGCTCTTTGAAATATAATTTTCGAAGACCTAAAGTCTTTTAGTTTAAAAACAACTAGATCTCATGAAATACTTATTGTTTTTCTGCAGTATTTAAATTGTTTTTTTTTCTTATTGTTTGCATTATTTCCTTTTTAACCTGTGAATTATGAAACTGGGCTATGACATTCCTGTAAGTTTTCTTCTTGGGATCTCTTTCAAGTGGTGATCAGTGGATTCTTTTTTTATTTCTACTTCACCTTCTTGTTCTAGGACTTCAGGGCAATTTTCTTCAATAGTTTCTTATAATATTGTATCCAGATATTTTTCCAATCATAATGTTTGGGTAGACTGACAATTCTTATACTCCATCTCCTCAATCTATTCTCTAGATCATTTGTTTTTCTAATGAGATGTTTCAGATTCTCTACTATTTTATCTACTGCTGGTATGTCTTGGTGTCTTATAATGTAATTTGATTCCACCTGCCCATTTCTAGTTTAAAAGGAGTTATTTTCTTCCTTAAGTTTTATACCTCCTTTTCTATTTCATTAACTTTTTTTCATAATTTTCTTAGATTGTTTTTATTTTTTCTAATTTTTCCTCAGTCCCTCTTATATGATTTTAAAATTCCTTTTTATTTTCTTTTAAATTATCTTTTTGGACTTGTGATCATTTGACATTACTCTTTAGAATAAGAGTGTTTTTTTTTTAACCTCACTATCTTCCTCTGAATATGAATCCAGGTCTTCTTTTGAAACAATGTAGCTATCAATGGCTGGATTCTTTTTCCTTTGCATGCTCATTTTTATTTTTATTATTTTTAATTTGATGTACATTATCTTACACAGCTAAATATTATTGTGATGAAGTTTTAATCCTTAGTTGTGGATAATGGCACCATAGGCCTCAGGTCCTTCTTTGCGTTGTTTTCTGACTTCTGTCTGGGGCTCAACTTTAGGACTCCTCCCTTCCTTCCTTAAGTCCCAGCCGTGCTGTCTGGGTTACCTCTCTCACCTGTCATGTCCTCCCTCCTCCTTGCCCACAGCCACGGCCAGGGATCAATCATGTCTGGTCATCATGGCTGGACCTGACCAATCTACCGCTCTTTGCTACATCATGCCACTGCTTGGCTCTGTGTGCATGATCACCTTCCAACCACCCCCTCCAGTGCCACACACAAAAAAGAATGGGCATTAGAAGGAGATTATGAGGCCGAGCAATTGTTCTATCATCTCACCAAGATAAGTGCTGGGCACAGGTGCCTAGTGTGCCAGATACAGAGAAACTTCTATTGAATTTGCATCTTTATTTGTTTGTATTGAATTCATTCTCCTCCTCCTTCTCCTCTTTTATTTCTTCTCCTTTTCTCTCTCCTCCTCCTTCACATTGTTTCTTTCATTCTCTTTCTCATCTGTCTCATTCACCCCCTCCTCCTCCATCTCCTTTCCCTTCTCATTTTCTTCATTGTCCTTATTATCATTCTCATTATTTTTTTTATTTTCTCTCTACTAAAAACCTCTCCACTTACCTGTTAGTGGCTGCTGATATTTCTTCATCTAGCAGGGATAAAGCTGGTTGTGAAATAGAGAATAATAATAGCTAGCATTTCTCTATAGCGCCTACCATGTGTCAAACACTGTGATAAGGGTTTCACAAATATATTTTCATTTGATCCTCACAACAGCCCTGTGAAATAGGAGGTGTTATTGTCTCCATTTCACAATTGAGGATACTGAGGCAAACAGAGATTTTCCTGGATCACATGGCTAGTGTCTGAGATTGTATTTGAACTCAGGTCTTCCTGACTCCAAATCCAGTGCTCTATTCATGTGCAATGTAGTTGCCTGGATGGCCTTCCTTTAGTTCTAGGTGCAACCCTCACCTGTTTCATGCTCTTAAAATAGAGCACTAAGTCAAAAGAGCAGGGTTCATATGCCCATGCTCCATGATTTTTGGATGAATCCTTTAATCTCTTTTAGTTTCAGTTTCTTCATCCAAAAAATGGATATAATACCTATGCTGGCTATCTCATGGCATTGTTTGAAAGGGAAAATGAAAACCAAAACACTTTGGACACCTTGAAGTGACATATGCATCTAAGTAGCATGTATTTTTCATTTCTTAGCATTAATATTCTTCTAAGTAAGAATAGATATTTTACCCCATTGATTCAGTCTTTTAATCATGAGAAAACTAATAGTATTGAAATACTTTCCAATTTGCCAACTACTTTCCCCATAATCCTGTGAAGTAAGTAGTACTAATAATATTGTACCCATTTTTTCAAATGAAGATACTGAGACTTAGATAAATAGCTTGTTCTCAGGTAAACTTGACTGGTGAATTCAGGATCTGGAATTCAAATACAGATCCAACATTATTGAACTATATAGGACATAATCACAAAATCTTGAAGTTGGAAAGGAACTCCAATCATGTCAAAAGCAAAAGAAATGGGGCCACTAAACCATATGTAAGGATCCCCGGGGACTATATATTGACTTACATGATGTATGTTCTAATGCATTTTTATTTATTATGTTAAATATTTCTAAATTATATTTTTAATCTGAATCTACAGTACTCATGAGCGATATGGGCTACAGTACTACCCACATGTTTGACTGATGCACAAATTTTCAAAGGTGGTTATATTTTGATTGTGCATATAAGATTGATAATTTAACTTATTTTTATAGTATTGTGAGGTTTACAAAGAACATACACATAACAATTCTGGATGGTATAGGGAGTAGATAAAATATCTTAATGTAATAATGGATGAGAAAAGTGAGGTGCAAAGAGATTAATTCAAAGGGATGAAATATCAGGGCCAAGACTTAACCTCAATCAGAGTAGGTTCAAATGAAAAGGACACCAGACTTGGAGACAGAAAGAGCTAGGTTTAATTCTAGCCTCAGATCCCTAACATCCTGGAGCTAGTCAATTAACCTCTCTATGCCTCAGTTTCACACCCCTTTCATATAAAATCAGGAGGTTGAACTCAATGAGCCCTATGGTCTCTTCCAGGTCTAAGTAAAAATTGTTAGCTCTTCACTAGAAAGTTCCATTACTTACACTTTACCTTCCAGGGTTGTCATTGAGGAAAAGTATTTACATTATGAGGCAGATGTAAAGTTTGGAACATTTTAACACACTTACACCCACATCTCTGCGTTTCTTTTTTTGGGGGGGGTTCTAAACACACACTGCTCACTTTCTGTTATCTTCATTACCTTGGACAGCTCCTTCAAGTAAGCATCAATGAAGTCCAGCGACTCTTCTGGGTTTAGATCTTCCTTATGTTGTTTGATGACACTTTCTATAAAGGACTCGAGCTTCTTCCATTCTTGAAAGAGTTTCTGGTGAGATCCTGGCAGGTATTTCATTGCCCAAGGAAAGATATTGAAGACCTAAATAATGTAAAAAGAGTAAGGGGAGGAGGGATCAGTGTCAGTTCCTGTTAGGTTGCCCTATCTCTTCATCTTCCTCATCCTAATTCAGGCCAGGGTACTTGACCACTTTTGTCATGGAATTTACCATAATTCCATGTCTAACCACTCCTGAAATACACTCTCCCTGTAACTACTGTCTATCCTTCCATACTGTTGCTTTCTTGACACCCAGGCTAGCATCTAACCATCTCTTGTCTCAAACACCAGCCCCTTGGGTATCCTCATTCACCTAAATAACTCTTTCAAGATGTCACCAATCTAGGAAGCCTCACAACCTGCAGAGAAGAAGAAGAGAGATTATTTCTAGAGTATTTGCTAGCATTTGGCCTGTATTTCCCTGTTAGCCCCACAGAGTTCCCTTCTTTTAAGTTTCCATTTTGCTCCTCTTAGGGAAATGAGAACTAATGTTATTCACCCTTTTCCCTCAATTTCTTCCATAGATAGACTCCTGAAGAGTTAAATGAAGTCGTGAGCCAATGACTCCTTTGGTGAACCTCACTCACTGACCAACCAGGAGGCATAGTCAATGGTGTGATGGAGTAAGACTCAGGAAGACCTGAGTTAGAATTCTGCCTCAGACACTTGTTAGCTGTGTGGCAAGTCATTAACTTCTCTCAGCTCCAGTTTCCTTAACTGTAAAATCAGGATAATAGTAGCAATTATCTCAAGGGGGTAGTTGTGAGGATCTAAAAAAAATCAGTCAATCAACAAGCATTTAATAAGTATTTACTATGTGCTAGGTACTGTGCTATGTGTTGGGCATGCAAAGGGAGGGGAAAAAATGACAGTCCCTGTCCTCAAGTAGTTAAAATTATAATGGGAGAGACTACATGGAAATAATTAGGTACCCGCAACATATATGCAGAGTGGTTGAAAGTTAATCTCAGAGGAAGGCACTAGCAGCTATAGGGACTGGGAAAGATATCCTTCAGTAGAAGGTGAAATTTTAGCCGATTCTTGAAAAAAGCCAAGAAGGGAAGGTGAGGAGAGAGAACATTCCAAGCATGAGAGAGAGTCAGTGCAAAGGCACTTGAGGTGGGAGCTAATATATGTAAAGTTATTTACAAACCATAAATGTAAGCCCTTAAATTATTCATGTCTCTCAGATTGTGTCTATTCTCTCTCTACATCTCCCTCATTATATTTCTCTAGCTGTCTATATCTTTTTTCTCTATCTCTGAACCTCCCTTCCTTCCTCCCTCTCTCCCTCCCTTCTGCCTTCACTCCTTCTTTCCCATCTGTCTCTCTCTGTCTCTCTCTGTCTCTGTCTCTCTCTCTGTCTCTGTCTCTCTCTTTCTCTCTCTCTCTCTCTGTCTCTCTCTGTCTCTCTCTCCCATGCAGAGGTGATGATAAAATTTCTTGTTTCCCTCAAACTCTACTCAAGAGACAGCTTCTCCATAAAGTCTTTCCTAGTCCTCCTGGCTTCTAATACTGCTCCTACCAAAACTTTTCCCATTGTATTTGTTCATTTGCATATACACACATTTGAGGGCATGTTGTCCCCTCCGACAGAATGTAAACCATTCAAGGTGAGGAGCTGTTTCATTTTTGTCATCGTATCCTCATCTCCTAGCACAGGGCTTCTTAAATTTTTTTCCACTTGCGACACCTTTTCGCCTAAGAAATTTTTACACAATCCAGGGTATATAGGTATAAAAATAGGTTTACAAATTAAACATTTACTAATAATAAATCATGAAGAAATGTATTTTAAAGCAATTCTTTGTTATACATATAATTTTATCATTTATTAAAGTTAAAAGTAAATTTGCATACTAATAAGATGGATGTACTCATTTATTTTTGCATAAAGAATTAAATCTTGGCAGAATATTTGATCCTGCAAGCCTTAGAGTATATTCAACATTTTTCAGAATTGATTGGTATTTTGATTTAATAATTGTCAATGCTGAGAATGCTGCTTCACATAAATACATAGTACAAAATGGCAGAAGTATGTTTAGGACCATTTCAGAAATTGTTGGAAATTCTGTCCTAATCCCAAGCCAAAATTCATTTAATGATTTTGTATGTACAGTAAAAACACTGCAATTCATAACACACAATAATCTTGAATCTGAGCTGAGATGTTTCTGGCAGTATTTGCTGATGTTGCCTGGCATAATGGCAGGTGCAGTGCAAAGTGCACATTTTGGGTGTTCAGAACCCAGGCTGCAGTGAAGTTGCATGATTCAAAATGTGCAAGCACTGAAAGAAACACCTCGGATTCATCATGCATTTGATTTTGAACTAATTTATGGTCACTGCATGTTCAGAATCTTCTACTGTTGACAATTTTTAGCAACTCCCATATTCAATTACAAAACCCCATATGGGGGATGACCCATAGTTTAAGAAGCACTGTACCTAACACTGTACTTGGCACACAGTTGGTGCTTAATAATTTTTTTGTAAATTGATAATCTTGGTAAAAATCTTATAAAAACTTAAAACCGTATAGAAATTTGTTTCCCATTATTTGGATATCACAGTGTTCTCTCAAAGCATTGGGTCCCCCAGGCACGTTCTTTAATGTCACTGTTTACAAACTCTTCTTTCTTTCCTCTCCCCTTTTGAGTCACCTTTACTACTTAGAGGAACTCATGCAAAAGCTGACTCAACTCCTGCCAACTTCTCACAGCCATGCTAGTTTCTTTTTCCTGTGGAGGAAATATGAGGCCCAATTGAGGCTGAGCCTGCTCTGCTGAGGAAGGAATGGCCTCTTACCTGGCATTCCCACCTGGTTTCAAGCTTCAAAATATCGTCCAAACTTTTCAGTAGCTCCCGAAAATGAGAATCATGGTACTCAAAGCGATGCCCGAAAGTTATAGAGCAGATGATGTTAGAAACAGCATTGTTGATCTGGAAGTGGGGGTCAAAGGGCTGTCCTGTTGACCAGAAGAGAAAAGGGACAGATCACTCTTCATTTCACTCATGCTCTTTAAAGGAACCCAGCAGAGCTCTCTATCTTTTTCTACTAAAGAATTTTTTCCTCACCTTTCCCTTCCCTCCCCTCTGCCATCACACATCTGCTTTATTATCATTTTACTTTACCAGTTACTGCTTAAATAGATGTGAGACAAAGAAAAGAACATGCCTATTTTCTAATGTTTCAGTCAAAAATTATGATTTAATTGGCATATTTTGTTTCCACATAGCCTACTTATGTGGCTTTGGGCAAGTTATTTTATCTGTCTTTGACTCCATTTATTCATCAGTAAAATGAAAGGGTAGGACTAGATGACCTCTGAGGGCCCTTCTAGCCTTTATCTATGATTCTATATCTGATATACCATGTGTATAGGTACACAAAGGTGTGCCCATCTGTGTAATGGGCATGCAGACACATGTGCACAGAGATGTATGTGTGCATATACCAATACCCATGACACCTGTGGGCTACTTGCATGCATGTGAGTAGCAGAGCTGAAAGGATGACTGGGGATACTAGAATGAAAAGAAAAGATATGAGAAGGTGAATAAAGGAGGGAGCCAGTATAAGGCAGTGCATGAGGTACTGGACCTGAATCCAGGAAGACCTGGTTTACCTCAGACGTTTACTCAAATCCTCTCTCAGACTAGCTTTATGACCTTAGCTCAAGAGTCTTCCCACTGTTGATTATTTCCAGTTTCTCCTGTTCTTAGAGTGTTTGTACATAGTTGTTTGCATGTTGTCTCCACCCTTAGATTAGGAGCTCCTTGAGGACAGGATCTCTTGTTTTTTCTTCCTTTCTTTATATCCCCAGGATTTAGCACAGTGCCCGGAATATAATTTGGCATAGGTCCTTGATAAATTATTGTTGACCGAATGGCTGACCTTAGACAAGCTTCTTAACTGTTCCACTCCTCAGTTAGCTCATCTACAAAATGGGTGGGAGGATTGGATTTATGGGTTCCAAGTTTCATTCTTACCCTAAAACTATAATAATAAGAGAAAGCAGCAGGAAAAGAGTAGAAAGGGACAGTGGATGAGGATGGGAGGATTGGAGAAGGAAAAAGAGGCATAAAAAGAGGAGGAAGTGTGGAAGAATGGATGTCAACAATACTGACATTGTGAAAATAAAAGTAACTTGGAAAGACTTAAGAAGGTTGATCAATGCAATACCAACCAAATTCCAGAGGAATGATTATGACACCTGCTACCCAGATCCTGACAGATGGTGATGGACTTAGGTTACACAACGAGATATATGTTTTTGGGTATGGCCAATGTAAGAATTTATTTTGCTTGACTGTATATTTGTTATTAAGGTTTTGTTTTTTTCAGTGAGTGGAGGAAGAAGGAAAGAAAAGAAATGATTAATTGAAAAAGTAATAGGGGCAGCTAGGTGGCACAGTGGATAGAGCATTGGACCTAAAATCAGGAGGACCTGAGTTCAAATCCAGCCTCAGACCAAACACTTGACACTTCCTAGCTGTGTGACCTTGGGCAAGTCACTTAATTCCAATTGCCAAAAAAAAAGAAAAAGTAATATTTTTTTTAAAATGAAGACAACAATATATATATATGTACATGTGTAAATATATATGTATACACACACACACACACACACACATATATATGCCCTAAGGAGTAGAAATAGGAGAACAAAGAAAAAGAGAAAAGAAGAAAGAGAAGAAAGAGGTAAGACACTGAGAAAAGGAAATAAATGATTCAATAAGTAGAAAGGAAGAAGGATGACTAGGAAGAAAAAGGAATTATAGAAGGGCAGATGGGGAGAATAGAGGCAGGGGTATGTGTACATGCATGTGTGTGTGTAGGGGGTTCCTGGAGTGGCCAGCTAAGGCAATGCCCCAAGTGACATTTTAGGGAGGGAGGCATGAAGGGTCTATCTTTTGATAGCATAACACAATTATAACAGCATTCAAGAGAATGGACCAACCAGAGTTCCTGTCTTTGCTTATTGCCTCATTTCTTCCCTGAGAACAATGTTGAGATGCTGTGACATTTTGCCTCTCCCCAGTCTAGGGATGACCTCTTCCTTTGCTCCTCCCACCCATAGTTACAGATTCTCTTTAATGATCATTTGGCCAAAAGTACAAGCAGAAGTAATTGCAAATCCCTCTGCCTGACCAGTGCTCACCTTCTTCTTCCTTGATAGCCTCAGTGAGATACCTGGCCTCCTCCCGGATGCGATCTTCCAGGGTCTTCTTTCCCAAACCAAAGTTCCTTAGGGTCATCAAGGCAAATCTTCTTTGCTGTTTCCATGTTTGGCCATTAGACATTACTATGCCTAAACAACAACAACAATTAGTATATATAAATATTTTAAAAGACCTGTAATTTTACTAGGATTATTCCCTTTATGAGCAATGGAATTCATTTGAACATGCACTTTAAAATACCTACTATATACCAAACACTGTGCTGGGCATACAAATAGTAAGGGTTAGACAGTTCTGGGTCCCAAGGAACTTACACACTGAGAGGGGAAATAACATTTAAAGTTCAACTATAGGGAACACGGAAAGACCTGGAAGTTCTCAAGACAAAGCAGAGGGAGATATCAAGTCCCAGAGGTCTGCAGGGTCTGTAAGTTGGCCATGTACCTTGGGGTATGTAACTATGAGATTCTGATTTCCTCAGTCAGAGAACTTGTTGCTTGATGAGTTTCTGTTTTGGAGAAGCCAGCTATGGATAGGAGACGGAGCTTAAGTCCTGGTCTGGATGGCCAGATCCACTTTGAGCAGCCTACGCCATCTCATGTGTTCCTTGATCACTTCATCAGTGTCATGGCCCAGGTAAGGCAGTGATGCCTTGGCCTATGGATGCTGCATGTGCCACAAGCAGGCTCATTGTCCCCCCTTTGCTCAATGTCATATAGAACTGATAAGGCCACTTGACCTTGCTGACCAGTAATGAATAGTCAACCTTGTTTCTTGCTGTCCAAGAGGGGGGGGGGGGATGGATGGAAGAAGGGCCCTGGGTTGCTCTTCTCCCTGGAAGTATCTTTGCTATGAGGAACTTGGGAACCGAGGCATAGAGTTTTTGGAAGGCACCATAGGATAGGATTGTTTAGAAATATGTCGATACGTTGCTTTTTAATGGCAGAGGAGAGGTCACACTGTTTCTGTATAACTACCTAGACTCAGGGACAGCTAGGTGGCACAGTGGATAGAGCACCGGCACTGAAGTCAGGAGGACCTGAGTTCAAATCCAGCCTCAGACCAAACACTTGACACTTACTAGCTGTGTGACCCTGGGTAAGTCACTTAACCCCAACTGCCTAAAAAAAAATATGAATAACTACCTAGACCCCACAGAAAAAAAGTTTCACAGAGGCCTCTAATTGGGTAAAGAAAAGGGGAGGGAATGGAATGGAATAAGCTTTATTAACCGCCAACTGTGTGCTAGGCACTATGCTAAGCATTTTACAAATATTATCTCATCTGATACTCGCAACAATCCTGTGAAGTAGGTACTGCTATTATTTCCATTTTACTGTTGAGGAAACAGATTTAGTGACTTGCCCAGGATCACACAGCTAGTAAGTGTCTGAGGCTAGATTTGAGCTTAGTTCTTCTTGACCCAGCTCTCTATCTACTGTATCACCTAACCACCTCCTTCTACCTATGGGGGCTCCTAGGGGGGGGGGGGGTGGGGGAGTGGGGTGATCTCAACTGGTGGGCCAGTTAACACTGAATGGATAGTGCCTTGGGGAAACTGCCAACATAAATGCAGGCCCTGGGACAGATTGCATGCAAGAGGGCAATAACATCTTAGCTGCCTCACTGAAGATAGCCATGACCCACAATTCAGTTTCAGTACTGGGCTGCAAGTGGTCAATTTACACCATATTCTTCAGGTTTCTTGTGCCACTCCTCCTTTCATCAGAAGTTTCACTGTGGACTGTTTCTGACATTACCACTGCCCATGAACTGCACATGCTCAGGGGACTGTTACATTGCATGCTATCTCTAAGTGTGTGTGTGTGTGTGTGTGTGTGTGTGTGTGTGTGTGTGTGTGTG